TCGTTTCAGGCTCGTACTTTTGCGATCGGATGAGAGACATGATATCGTCGTAGGACGTCGAAAGCATCTGGTAGGCAGAGGCATCAATAGCCGGCTGGCGTCGAACAAAACACTTGAGGCATCGCGAATACGGAGACAACAGCTCTTCCTCCACTTTGCCCTTGTGGCCGGCAATCTTCCACCACCTAAGTTGAGTCTTGAAGGCCAGTATCTGAAGCTCGAGAGCAACTATGGGAGCAGCGCTCAATCGAGGTTCTAGTGCAACCTCGTCCTCGCTGCTTGAGACACTGGGCGCCATGGAGAGCAGAGTCTGGCAAAGAGTTGCCATTTGGCGAGCGGCCTTGGACGCGTGACTTTCTCCTCCTTGGGCGATTTTGGGCAGAATATTCAATGGCGAGAGTGGGTTCGACTCGCGAAGGAAAGGGACGACACCTTCAATATGCGCTGGCTTCTTCGCAGAGGAAATTAGCTTGAGAGCTTGGATTTGGCATGCGACAACAATCGAGAGACTATTCGGGGAGGCAATCTTCTGGAAATCGAGCAAGTCGGATACGGTCTGAGACTCAGTCTTGGAAGAAGCGCTGTCCGAGGTTGCGCGCCCTTCCAACCTGCGCTTGAGGATCCTCAGCTCCTTGATGGCGAACTCGCTGAAACTCAAGGCAACAAGCTTAGTGATCAACAACGACATGCCACTCTCAATCTGGAAATCCGTCTGGTCGGCTTTGATTGGGCCCTTGACGGACCGCAGGCAAGCGAACGCGAGGCGCGAACACTCGACGGTCGCGCCCATTCTAGCTACTTGGCTGGCCATTGCCGATTTGGCTGCCTTGGCGGCGATGTTGGGCGAGGTCGCGACTCGGTTCAGGGTCCTGGGCTGTAGCGGCGAGAGAGGCGCAGATACCGACCGCCGCAGCGTCCTTGGCCGGCTGGCAGACTGCTGGTCCGCGGGGGCTTCGACAGATCGGCGAGAGGGCGTGGCCGGCGGCGCGGGCTTCGTAGCTTCAGTGAGAGACTTGATGGTTGCATTTATTACGTGTGTGGCCAGCGCCGTCCTATCCTTGGGACTCAGCCCCTCCTTGGAAGCGGCGGTCGCATCATGCTTTGTTTTCGTCGTCTTCGCGGTCGCTTTGGTCGCTCGGGCGGTAGATTGTTTGGTAGTCGTCGTGGAGCTTGATTCGCCAGCTTCGGGAAGCAGAAGCTTCTTGAGGGTCACGACGGTAGTTGGTGTGCAGGTCGAGGGTGATGCGACGGCCGCCTTCACGCCATCGACCTGTGCTTGTAATGAAGCCATGCTGGATATGTGTGGGAGCTTCTCCGTCTAAAGCATACTGTCATGTCTTTTCTGCTGTCGGGAGAGAGGACAAGAAACGCTGAAGAAAAATGAGAAAAATAGAAAGCAAAAAGACGGTCCAGAGCTCGGCCCTTGAAAAATGCTATCTACCAGCTGCAATGGCTGAAATGTTCAATATGCACGATACAGCTCCGAGGTAAAGAAGCGGTGTTTCGCTCTTCTGTTAGTAATTACTTTGCCCAAAATAGGCCGGGCTAAACATCGGATCTCTGTTGTCTGGGGCAACCGCCAGAAACCTGCCGGTGATGGTCCGTGCACCGCTCGCCGAAACTACCCTGGACCTAAAGTCAGCCAACGTTAATTGGACGTTGGAAATAATTTTCTGAATGCCACCGGTGCCGGCATTGTAATCGAGAGACGAAGCGAACAACAATAACGATGTTGGAACGATCACTATTGCGGGCCTCAACTAGAGGAGCTCTGCGATATATTCCTGCGACCGCACCGACAGCGCTACGAGGACAAGCCTGCACCCGTCGGCTCGCAAGCTCGGCACCGGCAACCATTATCGACCGTGACTTCTGGCGGAACCTCGTCCCGAAGCCGCTTCGCAAGGAGTACCGCGAGGCTGCCGCCAAGAAGAACCCGAAGAAGCAATGGAATCCGGCGACTTTCTTCATCGTCATGTTTCTTCTGATAGGCTCCATGGCGATCCAGATGATTGCCGTGCGCAATTCCTTCCAGCGGTACATGCGCTCGGCCGAGATCAAGATAGCGCAGCTCAGAGAGGTGGTGGAGAGGATACAGAACGGGGAGAGTGTGGACGTCGAGGCGGCTCTGGGCACAGGGAACGCCCAGAAGGAGGCTGACTGGGAAGAAGGTATGTCACTGCCCACACGAGCCAGAGCATAAGGGTCAGAGAGTCACTCAAGCTAACTGGGTTTGGTTTCAAGTTCTACGGTCGATCGAGCGAGGAGACGCCCCGAAGAAGGCCTCCAAACCCGAGAAATCCAAGCAGCCAGCTACGCCCAAGGAAGAACCCGCTCCCGCACAAAAGACGAAGCCGGCGGAACAGCAGGAGCAGCAGGCTCCATTGAATACGTCGAACAGCACTGGTAAACCCAGTGCCGGCTTTGGCAATTTCTTCTAAATGAATTTTAAGAAATCTATGTCTAAGCTGATGAACAAAAAATTACATGCAAAAGAACCCATTCCACTAAGACAACATCTCTTTGAAGACCCCAGAATTCTCCAGAGGTCCTGCCGTTGATGAAATTGGTGAATTATCTGCCATGGTCTGCCTCAGCTCTGATACCAGCAGAGGGAGAAGCTCGTCGGTCGACAGCCCGGTCCTCACGGCTCGGTCGCCCTGCTGACTCGGGTCGAGGTCTGTGAAAAACTGCTCCTCGCCTCTCACTCCGCCCATGTTTATTATAGCAATTGGCACCCCCCTATCCTTGGCTCTCTTGGCGATCCTCCACGCGGAATACGTGGCAAGGGAGGTTTCGAGGACCAGTAACTTTCCGGCTTGGTCGACAGCCTTCTCTGCATTATCCTTGATATGGCTGGCGATGTTCTCTCCGAACATGACCACTGCAGGTTTAAGGATGCCCGCCGTGCTGGGCAGTTTCCAGGCACCCTCTCCATCCACGCGAACAACTTGTTTGAGACCATCCGGCCCTACGGGTGGGCGCTCCAAGCACTTGGGACACGGGGGATACCTGAATGTGGTGTACGGCGCGTCCGGCAAGTCGACATCACCATCAGGGTTACTCCTCAGCCCCTTGAACCTTGCTTCATCGGTCTCACCCCTGTCCAAAGCGCCGGACTCAATGGCCTCCTGGAGCAATGCCGCCCATCGTGGGTTTAGCCTGGCAAGCTCTGCCTGGAATTCATCACGGGAGAACTCGGACCTGCAGGTGGTGCATACCGTCGACCTCAAATAACCGTGTAGCTCGAGGGTGGGCACACGAGGATGGGCCATGGAATGGAAGGAATCCACATTTTGTGTTATAACGCTCCGTACGAGACCCAGACTTGCAAGGTCCCTCACTGCAAAGTGCCCGAGATTGGGAGCAGCTTTGTGTAGACTAGACCAGCCCAGGAAACTTCTTGCCCAGTACCTCTTGCGTGCCTCGTGACTGCTGAGAAACTCGTGATAGTAGATGGGCCGATACGTCTTGTTGACGCGGTAGGTGCCCTTGACCCCCCGGTAGTCTGCCAACCCAGAGGCGACGGAGAGTCCGGCACCGGTCAGGACAAGAGTCTCGGAGGATGGCAGATGCTCCGGTGTGGGGGCGGCGAAAAAGGTCCGCAGAGCGGCCACTGCGCCGGCGAGCGTGCTGGCCGAGGCAGGGATGATCAAGGGAGGGGGGAGGATATCGGTGTATGGTATCCGCAGGAGAGGTTTACGCATGGAGGGCTATGGGCGGTCCTGGGTGATGCCCCAGGTCGATCCCCGTGGGATTGTCTGTTGCGTTGAAGCTAGGAGCGGCTGCTGGGGTTACCCAAGCAACTCTTTTGGATCAATATCAACGAGCAGGTTCTCAGCCGACTGAAATAAACGAACTAGATATCCAGAATCCTAATTGACACGCTTGCCATCACAGGTGGCGAACGGGCTTCTTGAAATGCACTCATCATCTGTTGAAGTGGTGACAAATGGAGAGCCTTCTAGCTGCTCCTCTACTAGAGCACGTGATGGATTGGCAGCACTTGCTTACCCTATATCCCACCCCGATCAACAATGCATAAATCCTCGCTCTACGACCAAGAGTATATGTGGGTTGTTAACAAGCGGCGGATATCTAGAAGCGCTACTAGTACTCTATCATATTATCAAAATTAGGGAACCTAGGTGGTAGCTGCCAAATGAGCGTTTGTCACGATTCAAACATCACACTGAGCGTAGTGCCAAGTTGTTCTCAAGAGCCATGTGCATACGCGCAGGCCGATCAACCAAGTGCCTACGGTAGGTAAACGCCGACGTGTACTACCAAGTAATCAATCCAGCCATGTTTCGTCTGGCGAGGCAAACTCTGACGGGTCCGTGATACCTCTGGATTGATCGACAGTCCTCGTTAGCCATGTATGCACCCAGTGTATCAGCCCAAGCCACCAACCAATGCATTGTGAATCACTCACCCCCTCCCCAGCACCGGAGGCGGCGACCTGCAGCACCCGCGGACCGGTGAGAGCCATCACAATGCCGCGCTGGTCGCCTTGCAGCTGCTAGCGTATGGTCACCGCAGAACTTGGCGCTCGGGGCTATGATAGTCTGTGCAGGCTCCTTTGTCGAACCACTCGGGGGGCAGCCTAAGTTGCACAATGGGCCATCGTAGCGCGGGTTGGCCCAATGTGGCGTCTTGGCCGGTCGGGGACTCTGCACGGTTTCAGCTGTCGTGCTTCGAGGTCGGCAGGGTGAGAGAGCTGAGCAGAGATGGTGTTTGTCATGCGATTGTGGTTGTACAACCGTGGTTTGTCAAGGGATGATTGACACACTCGCGCACGCTCCTCATGTTGGCTTCAGTGACGATGTGGGCAACAAAGCGAGCATCACGATGAGCAATCTCAAAGTAGGCGTGACCTTTCCAGCACGCTCAGCTCTCTCCCTTGGAGACCAGAACAACCTTCACAACTAGAACCTTCACAACTACAATTAGAAACGTTACAACATCGAGTTCTCCAATCCTACGTATACGATATCACGATGCCGCGGTCAATCAAACGTTCCTCGCTCTCTGAGGCTTCTGGGGCTTCTTGTTCTACTGAGCGTGAAATTGACAAGGATAACTATGACCCCCCACCGGCATACACCGAAGCAATCCCCAGCCAGAACAACGATGGTGTCACAACGCCGGGGTCATATCCATTCCCGGAGCTACCTAAGATACTCAAGGCTGGGGATACTACTAGCCAGCATCGCGATCCTGAGCTCAGTGATAGAAAGGACGATCTCCAATGCACTGAACTGCCTGCCTGCGGCGAGAAGAGCGCTCCGGAAGTCCAGATAACTCCTTCGGTCAACCGGGTAATGTCACGGCCGCCCAAGCGCTCATTATCTCCTGATGCTTCTAATACTCTCCCCAAGCCCAAGCGTCATGAACGCGAACCCCCCGGCGATGAGGTGGAGTCTCTTCGAACACCTCACATAACACCATCTCCCCACGGTGGAGATATTCGTGCCGCGGAAAGGCGAAGCTCTCTGCCTGACCTCTGCGGCGGAAATGTTGAGCGTACTACAAAGCAGCCCGTCGACCTGCCCGCTGGCAGCGACAGCAGCGGTGTTGTAAGCCATCCGAGCCTAGATCCGACGCTGTCCTCTGAACCTCATTTACCACCTCTTATTGATGAGAGTGCCGCTCCAGGAGAACCCACAAGTCCCGTCCAGACTCACACCAACGACCTTGCTTCTGAGGAATGTCAAGCACCCCGGAGATGCTTCAGATTTATGCCCTACTACACTCTGTTTAATGATGAGGAGGAAGCAATACATCGTTATTGGAATTCTTTCCAGGGCGCTGTTCAATCGTTTGCGCGAGATTGTCTCCCAAAGAAATGCTCCTGGGAAGAACTACCCACCGGGTACCAAGACCAAGTTCGGGAATGGGCATCAAACCCCAAGGAGTACCTAAACTCGAAGTTTCCACCCGATGTGACTAATTTCTATGCCGCCTGGCTATTTCGCCTTCTGGATCACCATTTGTTCTCTGGCAAAGACGTAGACAAATGGAAGGGGTCAGATTGGAAGGGATTTGGTGCTCTCTTGGCGTCTGGCAAAGGTATGCACCGCGCTATGTTGTTATTTGTCTCACTGAGCTAACCAGATAACTGTAGCACATTTGAGCGAACCAAATGGCCTCTTCGCTGTCAAGTACCACCACTGGCGTAATCTTTCTGTCCAGACACTGGCTGACATGCATCATCCCGATCAGCGTCATGTTGATCCTGACTGGCTATGGGAGAAGATTGCAGACTGGATGAAGCATCTTCCCTTTGTGTTGGAGAAGGACCAATCTGAACACCAATACGATTGGAGAAAGTTGATAGAATCCGCCATCAACATGGATAGCCTGATCATTACAGCTCGACGGGACATCACACTGCGCCTATCTGACTCTGCCACCGGCAAAGACTACGGCTTTCCCGCGGTAAAAGACAAAATGGCGCGGCGCAAGGGGCAAATAAATAGGGCACGGGGGGACCCCGTGGTAGACTTTGTCATCTTCCCAACGCTCCTCGCCTACGGCAAGGCGAACACCACGTCGATCTGGGATGAGAGTCGCCCAGCGGAGAATGTCCTTCTCCCCTTTGGTGATAGTTGGGATACAGTTTCCATGGAATTAAGCATGACAGTGTGCTATCACTAGTTTTTCTGTTCATGATTTGAATCGGTTTGACCCGATGCAACAAATCCAAAATTTCCTCTCTGGGTATCAGGAATGTCATCGCGGATGCTTCAGCTGGATCACCTTTAGTTTTAATGTTGACCTATCTTGCTTGGCCTCTTAAGCTAGTAAATCGCTTTGTAAGAGACATTTTTACGTAGAAATCTGCAGCTACTGTTCCTCAAAGTGGATGTGTAGCATTCCTGAAAGTAACCAACCGTTCACCTGTCCAGTAGATACTGCCACGGTCTTACACTTTCTTCTTGCCTTTTTGCCTGTCTACACATCTACCCGTCTATCCTTGTATCTACATAGATTCATCTACAAGGCAGCCACTGGTCATTGAAGCCTGATTGGGAACCTGCTGACCAAAACTCATATGACACTATTTAGCTACCTCCTTGCATTATGGGTTTGAGCTGTGGCTAGACGTCCTTTGGCCTGTTGGAGATCCCCCCAGCGTAAAACATTATCATTACCACCCCCTTTTACTTGCATCCTCGTCTCTATAAGTGCGCATGGGATCCGGCTGGGAAGCTTCACCGAAAAGTTGCTGAGTGTCACAAGGTGGAGATAGAGCTGGTGCAACGTATGTAGTCCATGCCGGCCGTGTGGTGTGCAGCTGCATCCACGGAGTTCCAACTCTGGGGGCTACGGCATTTTCGGCCATGGCTAGCTGCATGAACAAAGTTCCGACACCGGGGAACACAGCATTTCGACCGGGGTACCCTCAGCCCTTGGGGTGACCTCGCAGTAATGGGCTGGTTGCATTGAGATAGTTCCGGCGCTCAGAGATGCAACAGTTCAGGCTGGAGTTTCTAAAACACTTTGGGCTGCTTTGCAGCAATGGCTTTCTGGCTGCCTCGCGAGAATGGCTACTTACATTAACAAAGTTCCAGCACCGGGGAACACAGCGTTTCAACCGGGGTGCCCTCAGCCCTTCGGGTTGCCTCGCAGTCATGGGCTGGCTACATTGAGATAGTTCCGGCGCTCAGAGACAACGCACTTTAGGCTAGAGATCCCCAAACCCTGCAGGTTGCCTTGCAGCAATATTACCTGCATTCAAATACTTTGAGAGCGAGGAGACACAGCGTTTTAGGCCCGGATCCTCTCGACCCATTGGGTTGCTTTGCAGCTATGGTTCAAGTTGTGTACCCCGAGTTTTCATAATCACCGAGATATATTGCTTGAATTGCTTCGGTTGATTGTGCGGTGCATTGTTCTCAGACTGGGAGGCTGCAGGCAGTAGTCGTACCTTACCCAACAGAGACTGTATCAGAGGTTACTTGTTGTGCTCTTGAGGGGGTTAGAACAGACGTCGGCAAAGGCTGTGGCTACAAAAAGGCGCATTGTTCCTCACTTCCTTTTACATTTTCTTACATCTTCCCTAAACAATAAACTCATCATCGTTATTCACTTCTCGCTACTATATCTCTCAACGTTACATCATGGATTGCATCTGCGCGAAAGAACACGTATTCGTTGGCCTAGATTTTGGAACAACGTTGGTCAAAGCCTTCATCCACTGGCATGCTTCAGATATGCTAACGCAATCATATAACACAAGCCGTTCCGGATCCTATGCCACTCTTGCACGGGTTTGCCGGGAACATGGTTTGTTTCGGGTTATCAAACGAGCTTGGGTCAGCAAGTTCCCGACAAAGTTTAAGCTCTCTGATGATAATCGAATCGAGATGGTGGCCCCAGACCAGGAGGTTCCAGAGGGATACTTGGTACAACATGCGAAACTAGAGATTCTGTTCTCTGACTTGAGTAGGTTCGAGAAGACGGACGACTTCAATGAAATCCAGTCATGGGTCAAAGAGGGTTGGCGAAAAGGCGCCCGTGCTGGCTACGTCGCCGAGCATTTCGGTGTCGCGGTTAAGACGCTCTTCGAGCTAGTCTTGGATCAACTTAAAGAGCCTCATATTCCCAGGGAATCCATCACTATAGTGGTGGCATTTCCCGTTCTAACAGACAAGATCAAGGACTTGCTGAAGATGGGACTGAACTATTCCAACATCTCATCTTATTGCCAGGATGTGCATATTGGCTTAGAATCCCATGCTGCATTGGCAAGTCTTCTTTCCATCCGCCCCGAGAGTGCTCAGGTGGCTCTCACGGTACGTCCCCATTCGTTTCCCTCGTATGATGGAATTCCAGACCATGCGGTGTTGTTCACTCATCCAGTCGGTGTTGGTCTCGGAAGTCCGACCCTACTGTTGATCTGACTAGGCCTGCCCAGAGCCAAGGCTGTTGACATTGCTAACATGTGTCCAGAGACATGAGTCAATAATTGTCGCCGACTGCGGCGGTATCACATTGGTTGGTACTTGCTTGACCCTTTGAAGTGTTGGATATGCTAACAGGGCCCATAGGATATATCGGCATTTAGATCCTCCAGCACAAACAAGACAGAGGTTGTCTACACGTCAATACTTGGAGGTGGTATTTGGATAGACTACAACTTCGAGAAGTTGCTTGACGAAAGATTGGATGCGCTCAAGCCTGATATCATGATATCAGAGCCGGACGATGGAGAGGTTGAGAGCTTTAGATCCTGGGTCCTCAACACGTGGCACCTCAACATGAAGGATTATGCTCTTACAACAATGGGAGATGATCATTCATTCGCCTTGTGCGGAATGCTAGTTGAATTCAGTCGGTGAGTGGTTCTGTCATTGTTTCATTCCAGTCCTCTCCTTCCTCCACGTGCGAATGCATTGTTCTGATCCACCATCTCCCGATCACCACATTTTAGTCCCGAGTTGCGCGCTGCGTTTGTTCTAATATGATTCTCTTAGAATGGAGCTAGAGACTGTTTTCATGCCCGAATGCCAGAAGATAGCTGACGCTATCGACAAGGTAGCCCGGAAAGAGCGCGAAGAGAACGGTGGCCATGAAGTCAACGCAAGTGCACCCCTCCCTGACTGGTTTCTTCCGTATTGACAGAACCCGCAGCTTGTCTTCCTGACCGGCGGCTTGGGTCGCTCTCCGGCTGTCCGAGAACTGGTCCAAAGGATCCTGGACACCAAGGTCAAGCGCGGCGAGCGGGCAATGCGAATTGACAGCACTACGGATTTGGGCTGCATGTAAGAACGCTGATGGTCATTCTTGGACAGCTGCATTTTTGCTGATCTGAACGATAGGTGGAACGCAGTGGCGAGAGGAGCGACACACTACTTCGACCCGAATATCCCGGTCACTAGCCCCACGTGGCAGCCATTTGCCAAAGCTTGAGTCGGATGAGATGGTGTTTTAGTAGGTAGGTAGAGATTTAGACCCGAAGGAAACTTGCCAGTGTCTTTAGCTAGAGACCGCCCCTCATTCCGTGCCCGGCAACCGACAATTAGGGAGCAATTGAAACCGGCAGTATTTCCTTCTCACGTTCAATGAGATGCTCCAGTATACCTACGTGACAAGACGGAACCAGCTACGGTGGTCGTGGCTCGACGTCTCTACTGAGGCGCTGAGCCACCATACGCCCATAGTAATGATGTCGTCCCATCTGCATAGGCGCCGATGGACAGATCTCGAGCTGGATGCACGGTCACCCAATCACAGATCCGTGAATACCTTAGTCAAACGCTGTAGCTGGCATCTCCGCGATCCGAGATGGGATTAAATCAAGGTGTCTTATCAGATCATCAGATAATGCCCGGGGCCACTTGCGCTAACGGAGCTTGTAAGGCCCCCTAGATTTATAGGGGCCGACGCTGCCAGCTGCTTTGGGAGCACAGGGAGATTGCACAATGGTTCCAGGCTCCGGAATAATGGATGAGGTACCTTATCTAGCACTGGTAGCACGGCCAGTCTAACGGTTCATGCCGGGGCACTTTACAGGCACCCAAATCTCTGCTTCGTTCGACGAGACGAGACGATCCAGGGGCATCGCTCGCCCAAAGTGCCAGTAGAGATTCAGGTGCACCATCGTTCCTGAATCACCCCTGCAAGCGCTACACCGCGAGGCTCCTTCTGTAAACCATGTCGTCATCATGAGTTGGCTGCTCGGGGCAGTTGGAGTTGGGGTTGGCACGAAACCCCACACACTGCCAGCATGCTTGATGCACCGTGAGCCGCCTACCTCCGAGCCTGGCTCCGAGTTGAGCGATAGCAAATCGGGAAATGCAAATGAGAGACCGAGAAAGCTCGGGGAGAGGCGGTAGGCGGCTGGAGGGAGGGAGAGAGCAAAAGGAAAAGGAAACTTGGTCAATTGAGAAACCAACACCTCGATCAAGATACAAGGAATTGAGTTTGACGGCGGCGGATTTGGCCAGCGTCGGGTCAGCAAATGGGCGGCCGTGACGCTTATCAATCTGGGATGTTGAAAATGCCGAGCGTTTTGGCTCGCGATGGACATGGACTAGCTGGAAGCGCCAGCCAAAGTCCGAACTCGGGCCGTGTACGTACGTAAATGCGAACGAGAATCGAACGACGCGGAAACTCGAGCAGCAGAGAAGAAAAAAACCCTTCCTCACCGCAGCTATTTACCTGGACGCATCGATGCGCTAGACAGAAACCCCTCGTCCGCTGGCAGGGCCGCCGACGTCGCCAACACTGGTTTGATGCCTACTGATCTGGATTTTGGCATTATGTCCCCATAGACTCGCCGTGCTCTAGCTTCGGAGAGGCATCGCTCTCCATCGGTTTTTCTCCCCTTGTCGCGCCAGCTCGCCCGAGATCCATCAATTCTCGCCATCACCTGCCTCTGCCTCTACCGCCCACTACAACCCTCCGCCACTGTCCGCTACAGCTGGTGCTGGTGCGCTACGCCGCCCGCTCGTCCTCTCTCTCTTACAAACAGCTCGAGGTGATTAGCCAATCCGTGCCCGCAGCCGTGCCCGCAGCCTCTGCCAGATCTTAGAAGCCAATCGGGGAAAAGACCAGTCCAGAAAGAAGCAAGAAAAAAAATAGAGGTCGGCCTCGGCCGTGCGTGTGGTGTCGTGCTTGAGCTTGGCACTGGCCTTTCCGCGCTGGGCCGTTCCCATCCTCAGCCAGACCATCCCGATCTGCCCGTCCTCGACCCAGCTCTGCCACCCTCTTCCACCTCGTCTCTGTCCCCCCTTCGCAGCCGTCTTCCTCTGCCGTCCTCCCTTCGCGCGTCCATTGCTGCATGTCTCCCCTGGCTGGGCGGCGCTCAGCCTTGCGGTGCGTCGTTGCCAGCGGCGGGAAACGCAGGGTAGCAGCAGCCGCGGCCGCCGCAGCGAGAGCGATAGCGGTGGTCGGTGGTGGCCCGGCACCTGTTTCAGCGTGTGTGCTGGGCCATCAAGGTGACCACCGCCCGCTGCGCGTCCAGAGCAGGACACCACCACACCAGAGCCAGATACCACAGCAGCATCTCCAACTACGTGGCCTCCAGACCTCCTCGTCGTCGTCGTCGCCCTCCCCTCCCTCATCGTCGTCCTCGCCGCCGTCCTCGTCCTCGTCCTACTCACATCCCGTCGACCCCGGCTCGCTTCGTCGTTCTTTTCCTCGTCTGCTGCTCGGCGGCCGCCAGCGTCGGCTTCGTTACACATATCTTCCCGCCATTGTCATGGGCACCGCACACCAGATCCGCGACAATGGGGGCGATCACCACCCGCCGCGCCCTTCCTCCTCCAAATCGAATAAAAATCCCGACCACGACCACGACCATGACCACGATGAACATGATCACGACGACGGCCATTCTCACAGCCACTCCCACGGCCTGGGCCACCACCACCACCACGACAACCCGTACCTCCTCTCCAAAGACCGCAGCGACCCCGGCGTCCGGATAACAAACATCGGGCTCGTCTCCAACCTCCTCATGGCCGTTGCCAAGTTCATCGGTGGCTGGGCCTTCAACTCGAAATCAATGGTTGCCGACGGCTGGCATAGCATGACCGACCTCGCCTCGGATGTCCTCACCCTGGCCACCGTTTCCTGGAGCATCAAACCCCCCAGCGAACAGTTCCCCATGGGCTTCGGCAAGGTGGAGAGTCTGGGCGCGCTGGGCGTGTCCGGACTGCTGCTGGTAGGGGGCTGCTACATGGGATGGGAGAGCGCCATCAGTCTCTACGGCCACTTCGACCCTGCGGCTGCGCACACTCTCATGGAGCACATTGGGCATGGGCATGGGCATTCGCACTCGCACAGCCCTGCCGCCCTGGGGATACCCAGTATTCACGCTGCGTGGCTGGCTGCTGGTACGGTGGTCGTGAAGGAATGGCTCTATCATGCTAGTGAGTGCCTCAACTCTGTCCCCTTCTATTACTACCCGCAGTTGGGGCCGGTGATCCAATTGGTTTCAGCTGCTTTTCCCCCAACCTAACGCTTTCCCTATTGCTCGTCTTTGACTTCCTCACCTACGTCACAGTCCTTCCAAGCCTTCTCGTCGAAACATGAGCTAACCAGCACATCTCCACAGCTATGAAAGTGGCACGTGAGAAGCACTCCTCCGTCCTCGCCTCCAACGCCATCCACCACCGCGTCGACAGCCTAACGGGCATCGTAACCCTCGCCGCCATCGTCGGCGCCAACGTCATCGAGACGGCCGGCTGGCTCGACCCCGTCGGCGGCCTCCTCATCTCCTTCATGGTCATCCACGCCGGCGCCGGCAACATGGCCGACGCCCTGCGCGAGTTGGCCGACCAGGGCGTCGACCCGGAGGTCAAGGGCAAGGTCCGCAAGCAGGCGCAGCGCGCCATCGCCAGCCTCGAGGACAGCCGTGACGTGGAGCTCCGCGACGTGAGCGGCATCAAGTCCGGGCAGAACTACCTGATGGACCTCGAGATGGCCGTCCCCGGGTCGTGGTCCGTCGAGCACGTGCGCAGGATGGAGGACGAGATCCGGCAGACCGTCGGCGCCAAGGTCAAGGGCGTCAAGCGGGTCCGCGTGCGGTTCGTCTCGGTGCAGGAGCCCATCAACGGCCGGTTCGACGAGTTCATCCACGAGCATCCCCACCAAGGCGAGGAGGATAAGAAGGCGAAGAAGCTGAACGGGCATCAGAAGGAGTAGGAGCATACATACCATTATTTCGTTTCTGGTCTTCCTCTTCCCTTCCGCTCACCATTCTTCTTGCTTGTTTTCATCTTCATCATTCGGTTTTCTTCTTTCTTCTTTTGTCTTCATGAGGGAAAAATCAAAGCATGGCAGCAAAAAGCATAAACCAACTAGAATCGGCTCAGCCCTCCTCCGCTCCAGTCCACCACGGGGGAACAGGAAGTCAGGGAGAAGAAAATAGGGGGACCAGGCATTGCGGGAGGGGAAGGAAGCCGAGACTGTGTATACCCCCCCCTTCTATACTATATAGGTAGTGTACGTACGTGACGGTAGAAGGCGTACAGAAAATCTACAGAGACAATTTTACTTTCCAATCGGGTAGAACCGTCCCATGCGGCGGATGTGTGAATCGGGAGTGGAAGGAAGAGGTAAGAACTGCGTTCCTGTATCAGCGGCATGGGTTTGGGGATGTAGGCTTGTGGAGCCTCTTCTTAACGTGGTGGCCTGCTTTCATCGAGGGATATATTTTACAAGTCTTGACGGTTAGAAGCGGTTGTTTGATTTCGATGATGATTTTGCGAGGGCATGTGTATGCATTGTTAACAGGGGTTGGGGTAAAGAAAGGCGAGAAAAGTCACGGGGAAGAGAGAGAGTCAAGTGGACGTCAAGGAACTTGGAATATAGGCATTGATGCGGTGGCGTTGATGGACTGCTATTCGAGCGGGTAATCTGGCTGGCTCATGTCGTTATTAATAGATGGGTATGGACGTTTCTTTTGCTTCCCGGTATGTACATGATGTAGGTGAGATGGTGGCGGCAGAGGGTGTGTCGTGCATTGAGCTTGTGGAAGTACGAGAGAGAGCATGGTGCGGGAGGGTATGTTTAGGGTAAGCTGGCGGGCTCGTCTCCGATGCCGTATCCGTGCAGTATCAATCAATTGTTTCCTCTGTACTTGTTCAATGCTCATCACTGCCCTGCATGTTTAAGAGCATGCGGTGTTCTTAGACAACGCAATCAAGATCTACAACATGCCGTCACACTGATGACCACATCGTGCAAGCCAAAAACGAAATGCTAGCGCCTCATCGGAGTTCCATAAATCTGGGTCAAAGGCAGCCCCGGTTTTCCCATCTCAAGTATGCCTGCAGCAGAAATGCGCACTGCAGGTGCATGGAACAGAAATTCCTGACGGTCACTTGACCTTTCCACCGCCCCCCGTTTGCACATCGTATCCTTTGTGCTCACTGTCAACTCTGAAGACCAGCGGCGACAAC